GGCGTAAAAAGTGGCGTACGCAAGTTTCTGGGCTCAAATTGTGCGTACGCCAGTTTTATAAATCCGACCCCAGGAAATTCCCCTTTTGCTGTTTCACTTTGGCTGTGGCAGCCACCTTGACTTAACTCATGAAGTAGTACAGTTGTACAATGATTACTTTGAGAATTTCATTTAAATTTGGCCAGTGGTTCATGAGATATTTCCTGCAAACAGGCAAACAAAAACACAGCCAGGCATTGCTATTTCGTCACTTTTCGAAGTGGCAGTTGATAAATAAACTGGGTGAAGCCTTACTTCTAAATTTTAATTGGTGACAAAACAAGACAGACAATTTTTTCCAATAAAATTTTGTTGTTTTTTTAGCTATTTTTATTTAAGTGCTTAGCGTGCCTCTTTTTTAGTCCTGAGCTAGTAATATTTTTAACGTAAATATTTTTTTCAACACAGGCACAGCAAAACTTCTTTGCATGTACAGCTGCTATCCAGTGAGAGCAAGCTCTGTGACTTTGATTAAACAGCTCAGACACTTTGCAGAAGTGCATGAAATAATTGAAGCCCATCTCCATACATCAGACTCCCTCTGCTGATCAGGTGCAAAAGCAATCGATTCTTTCAGTCAAGCCAAAAACCAACAGCGCTGTCGACATACGAGTGTGTAAATGCTGGACAGGCCAAATAGCTCAAAACATAAAAAACAGAAGCAGGCTGAGAAGTTAGGTGGTCAAAACAAATAAAACAAAAGGTTAACAAAATGTAAAGCAAAAACACAACTTGTTCCCCAACAATGTTGTGTTGACTGCTGACTTTAACAGAAAGCTAAAATCATCAGCAAATTTGATTCATCGTCTTAAAAAAAAAGTGAATCTTAAAGGCCTGAATTAAGATAAACCTACACTTCCCACTTTAATTAAAGAAGTCAATGCATTCCTTTTTAAGATCATAGGTTTTAAACCAAGTAAATAGTGAAGTCGCTCGCAGAAAACACCAATTACAGTTACCCCTGCAATTCAGGCAACAAACACTACTGTCTCTGTCTCACACCTACAATATGTGGGCAAAAACACAGACATTAATGCTGACCTGGTTTTACCTTCTTGTCACAGCCGACTGCAACGACGAGGAGGAAATCGAGGATAAAAGCAGGCTCTATTCTCAGACTAAAGTCAAGAATTCTCTTCTGCTGTTATCATTTCATCATTGTTTTCATTCAGAGCGGCAGATCAAAATACAAAACACCTGCACACAAGCTCTATGTAAATTTTGCCACAGATGTCAAAGGATTTAAACCTGGCTATATTTTCCCCATGAAATCTATTTACCCCAAAATTTCTTTATGAGCTAAAAATGTCATTTTCTGATGGTTTGTCTGAGTTATCTGGCATGTTTGTGATCATTGCAGTGGGTGAACAGAATAACAACTCCCCAGTGAGCTCCACTTTAAAAAGGTCCGGGAAAAAATTCCTTCTGTTTTTCTGTTGAAATCGTATGAAAGCTGCTGAATTTTTGAGACAGATGTTTCCAGTGGCAGTTCTGAGAAAAAGGGGTTGGTGCAAACACACTGCATGCATCAGGAATTCAACCCCCTCAGCCTCTGACCCACACTGAAACATTTCACTAACAGGAGTCTTCGGCTTCTGAAGTTTGTGGAGTTAAAGACTTTCTAACGGCGCTTAAATCTGCACCATTTAGGCTAATAAACTGTGATGCATGTTGTTGTCAATACTAAAAATACAGTAAGTCAAAGGCAGAGGAATTTGGGAATCAAGCAGATGTGATTTCAATCAGCTAAAATATTTAGGCAATTAAAAACCAGCCAAGATATCAACCTAAAAAAATGCCCAAGTGTCCCAAGAGATGTTACAGTGTTTTCAGGATTTCTAAATATTTTATGTAGAAAATTACGCAGCTGTCTAAAATTCCCAAAATTTCTTGGTACAGTTTGTTACAACTGTTAGATGCCACTGAGCTTGAGGACTCATGTTGTTTACGTAGAAATATAAAAAACAGCAATAACGTATTCTGAATTAGAAATACTGTTGCAGGGAATAACTGGTACAAAAATACGTATAATAAATATATAAAACATAATTTTTGCCTCAGATGGGTAAAAATACATGAAGAAACATGTTTTTGTATATTCAAACCATTTAACATTACCACCTGAATTTTCCAAGTCAGGGGAAGTTCATGAACCAACAGTGTAAAAAAAAGTTGAACAAAAATCCCAGCTGATGTCGACTGAATTAAAATAAGAAAAACATAAAGAAAGTCCGATTTTACTACAGAAAGTCGGGAGATTTAAAACACTTAACCACAACTGTTGTGAACAAATGTCAGATAGCTGCAGGGAGAGTTGGTTTTGTGGTTCTACAGTTTCAAACTAACATACCCAAAGCACTCCTTTAAAGAATGACTGACCCCTTTAGCATCCATGTGCCAATAGCATCATGCGTTTTTTTAGTAAACACTGACAAAAAACATTACTAAAAGCCCTGGCTTTTTAAATGCAGCAGCAATTGGCCGGGTAGCTCTGATCTCTAAAAAAAAAATCTCCTCTACAGTAAGGTTGTTTTAAACTCAAAAGGTTTAGGTCAAACAGATGAAACAAACCAGCTATCAAAATGTTTAGAGTTCTGTATACTGTGAAGGACGTTCATTTCATCTTTCTAATTTATTCCCAATGAAAATTATTTTTAATAGAATCCTTGATAGCAAGAGCAAGAACCAAATCAAAACGTTTCTATAATTTCTCTTGTACAACAACAGATTTACTTAAATGGATAAAAACGGGAGAAATTTCTATAATTAGGTTATAATCTTAATGTTAAGTGCAGTGCAGAAAGGTACTATTTTAAGTCTGTCAAATTGCTATTTTGACCAATTTTAAAGACTTATCAGCAGAATTAAAAGCCTTGAATTCCATGTTGATTAGATGTGGCGATCATCTTAAATTGGACTGACTCAAGTTAATCAGTTGTAGAAGTAGATCCAATAATTACTTCCTGAAAGTTTCAGTAATATTTGTCTTGTGGTTCACAATATATTTTGATAACGGAGTTGACTTCAACAGTTAATAGGAAAGGACAAACAATGAGTAGCACTTGGAGTTTGTTATGACTCCCAGCTACAACCATACCAAACTTTAGCAGAATATCTGTAAAACTGACCAAATTATAGTCGTTTATATATTTTTTAAATCTCAGGCGGCTGTGGCTGTCATCTCGATTTGGACRGACTCCGAATGATAATCAGTTGTAGAGATGCATCAGACCACCAGTTCCTGAAAGCTTCGTTAAAATCCGTCCAGTGGTTTCAAAGATATTTTGCTAAGAGACCGTCGACTCCAAAAACCTATCGGTGAGCTCTGAAATATCTGTAAGCAGTCTGGCTCCTTGGAAACTAAAATCTACAGAAGAAATTAGGAGGGCCCTGAGATTTGGGCACAGTGCTGTCACTATGTGTGTCCACTTCAGTGTGTAAGACTGCTTCTTTGCTTCACTCCCTGCACCCTCAGCCGTCCCCTTTCAGTCCCATCTAAGTTGGATTAATGGTCTCCCTGTGTCCAGATGTTGCATAGTGATGGAGGAGGAGGGTGGAGCTTGCATACTTGTGAAACCTCAGCGACAGCTTTCCTTCTCAGATCTTGTAAAACAGAGCACGGCCTGTACGTGCTGCTCTATAGGAGTCATCAGGACTATCCATATAAATCACAGCCAGGTCATGTTTGTGATTCAGAGAAGCAAAAACTCAATATTTAACCTGCTATTTGGAGGAGGAGGGAAAATGTGTCAGTGAATGTGTCTCTTTTCATGAGAGTCATAATTTGGGGGGGGGGTTCGCTCAACAGGTCCGCAACGCTTTGTCGCAAAAAGCAATGGTGCATTTGATACCTCATAATTACCATGAGGGATTCAGGGGCATTAAGGAGCTCCCGGGACGCTAAGAGGATAAAAGCGGGACTATTCATTTCACTCTCGGAGAGTACCTTAGCTGTCACCGATAAACTGTAATTTCCCAGGCAGCCTCTGAACGCTGCACGTCGGGACAAGCAGCGCCATTAAACGAGCGAAGCAGACAAACGTTGTTTTCATCTGCGCCAAGGAACTGAACATAAACACGATCTGAACTGTGGCTCCTTCTGTGCGAGAAAAAAAAATGTTTCATTTTTTTTTTAATAAACAGCGATAAGAAGCAGCAGGTTGAGTTGAAGGGTTGCTATCAGCTGTAGCCACTCAAGTAGGATTTTTTGTTTTATTTTTAATGCTGAATTAAGACGTGCGTTTTGGGGGTAAACAGGTCGTCATGCTACCTGCTGAATATTCCCGTCTGCTGTCTCCACAGGGAGGCCCCCCTTTTTCTGTCTGCTCGGACAGGAGACACGTTTAAGGCCAAAATAAATCAACACACTGCCTTGTTTGTACGGACTAAAACGTGCTTTTTTTGGTCATTTTCTGCTGAGCTTCGTTTTAATACAAATATAACACATCTGTGGCGCTAAATTCGCTAACCATACAGGCCTGAGTGTGCACAGATGCCTTTTTTTTTTTTTTGTGCAGGAGAGGGGGGTACCCATGCTCTTTCTGGAAACAAAATCAGGCAGCTTCTTACCTATGGTTACACCGCTGCTGGATGTGACCTCCAAGGAGAGAAAAAATCCCAAGTAGAACCACCTCATCGCCATCTCCTGAGCAATGCCCGACGGCACCGCTGCTAGAGGACGGAGTAGATGGGAAAGTTGGCTGGGTTTCCAGAAGCAAACAGCCCGCCGGTCAGCCACCTCATCCGAACCTCCTCAATCAACGGGTCCGGGGTGCGGTTGTCCCTCCAGAGCCAGAGAGCCCACGCGCCGCTTTAAATCAAAGTCGAGCTTCTTCTTCTTCTTCTTCTTGAAACGAAAAAAAAAGGACACAAAGTCTAAAATGAGGCTAAAACTAGCTAAAAGCTGCAACACAGTCGTGTATATTTACAACTGTTTATCGGCGTTCAGACATGATGGGAGTGCGTGGCGTAACCTCTATCTCTGCCTTTCTCTCAGCTTGTCGCCGGGGGTCTCTCTCCTTTACTTCACCGGGACTCACTGAGCCACCAGAACCGACTCGAGCCGCCGGCTGCGCAATAAAATAAAAAAAATTAAAATAAAATAAAATAACCAACTCCGACCAGTTCTTTCCGTGACAAACTTTTTTTTTAAAAAAAAAGAGGGATAAATTAAAATGTAAAAATTTCCATCGTAGAGCCAACGTCTCCCTGCGCGTGTGTGAGTGCACGACTGGCTGGCTAGTCCTCTCGACCCCCCCCCACCAGCAGCAGCAGCAGAAGCACCGTGGACGAGTTCGTGACGTAACACTCAACTCCAAGCTCACCGACAGAACTGCGCAGGCGTCCATGGGCACCAACTCAGGGTTGCCAGATAGTGCACCAATGTTAAAGCTTTTTATTGATTTAGAATTGTAAAGTGTGGCGTTCCAAGCGTTACAGACAACTCAGTCTCGAGCATTTAACWGTTACAAAATGGTGAATAAAATTAACCTTTGTTAGTACCAAAGATGAGGTTGTGTTACTCCTAAATGGAAGAGTAAACAGCTGCTGTCTGCTTGATGTTGTCATTGTTGTTCATCTGCTCACCAAAGTGCAGGACAACTATTGACTGCAGCCATACGTTCTGCTCACGCGCAATGTCACACAGATGCTGGAGGTTTCCAAAAACCTTTGCTCTGAGATCTGAAATCAAAAAGCTTCGGTTTCAGAGAATGGTCAAAATACGGCAGAAAATCTTCCGTTTCCTATCAAAAACTATGTCTAAGATATCTGAGGCTTCCTCCTCTRTTTACTTACTTACTTCTTTTTTTTAATGTAAGTAACAAAGTAGAGCCGCTGCTCCTCCACATCGAGAGGAGCCAGTTGAGGTGGCTCGGGCGTCTGGTTAAGATGCCTCCTGCACGCCTCCATGGTGAGGTGTTCAGGGCACGTCCTACTGGGAGGAGACCCAGAACACGCTGKAGGGATTATCTTTCTCAGATGGCCTGGGAATATGGGGTTCTCCTAGTCGAGCTCGCCCAAGTGGCTGGGGAGAGGGAAGTCTGGGTCTCTCTGCTCAGACCGCTGCCCCCACGACCCAACCCGGATACGAAGAAAACGGACAGACGGATGAAGTAACTACCTTCACTTTCTTCTCATTTCATCTGTCTTTTCTGTCCAAAATATGAACATTTTTGGTCCTCAAAAGAGTGTCCTCTGTCTTTGAGGTGTCGGTGCACCACTAAATTTTGTCCTGAAGAACTGGCTCTCCTGTTTTGCACATGCATTTGGGGAAATGCTACTCCATTATAGATTTTTTTAACATTCCTTGCTGCACTGAACACTGACTGAACACCATGCTGCTCAGTTTGGTATTTTGTCCTTAGGATGGACCAGCCTCTGTTTCAAGCATAGCCAGCAGCACATGTGGAATAGTTTGGGACAAATTAGYTTTTAATCGAATGTACGATAGTTCGTCATTTACTATCTGGCAACCGCGCTCTTAAACTTGTAGGAAACTGGGATGCGGTGGGGGCACAAGGGGCAGCCATGTTGGCTCAAAATTGCTTTAAAAATTTTAAAATCCTCAAAATGGCAACAAGTTGTAATGAGATAAAACTTCACAGTTGATTAATTCAGAACACAATATGTTTTTACGTCTAAAAGGATATTTAAAACTTTAAAAGTATGGAAGAAATCAAATGCCTGGCCAGAAAGAAGCGACCACAACTGGCCAGAAGCATCTGCATTCTGCACCAAACTGCGTCCCCTGGTGGCGCACAAATGTGTGACACGTTGAAAACATCTTTCTTACATGTTTAAGCATAAACAATAAAGAATTCACAGAACAATRTGTTCACACCACAGCAGTATGATGCATAGAATTCGTTAAAAGTCAAATTTCTGGAAATAATTCATTAAAATTGAGTTGATGGGTTAGATTTTTTTTAACTCAGGAAAGGGAGCTATCTGGATCAGAGTGAGCTCTGAGAAAACGTCACAGGCCATAAAAAATGTTATTTCATCTGAAAGAAAAAAACACACACATGAACTTCACATATGCAAATCACATGTGAAAAGCTGTTTAAAACTTCTTTCTTTCTTT